CGGTGAAACTCAGCGTTACCTGAATGACAGGTTTCTCTGAGTTTGAACATTGTTGGAAACATTTATAAACGTTTGATTGCAGAAATTTTACATATTGTACTTTAAGGCCTAAAATTCTGATTATTGGATTTAAGACTTTCTAAGACTCCTGTGAGAGGAGACAAACTGATAACATAATAATAAGGAAATGACCTGCTGCTGCCATAAAGAAGAGTGTGGGCATTAAGCAGCAGTCTGGGATAGTTGGAACTGGATTGTATAATGAAAATGAAAAAGTGCTGTTGGTGATTCTGATTGCTCAGTGTCACTGTCACATACTACGACCACTTCATTACTTTCATGAGTAAGACCAGTAGGTCTTCTGTGACGTTTATCTCTTGCTTGCCGATAACACAAAATCTGAGAGACATTATTTAATATTTGTCTATATTGAGTAGGGACATACATACAGTTATATCTGATCATTTGCATATACGGTATTACATATAAGTGCAACTGCTAAATTTCTATTTAATGCACTGAATCTACATTGCATACACAGGTTCTAATGTATTGTCAGTAGAGGAAGGCTGGGCTTACTATTAAGAGCTACACCTGCTTCATCATTTACCTGTGCACATTGTCAAGTGCAACAAGTTGGATCTAATAGACAAGTCATGACAACAGTACTGATCCCACTGTGTGGAGATTCATCTCTGCCATCATCTTTAGCCACCTGTTTCCTTTCAGACTCAAACTGTTGCATACACTTCTTTTATATTGTCATTTTTTCCTCGCCCATTTTGTGGCTCCAATACTTTGATTTAAGCATATGATTTATATATCATATTAATTGTAAAACCCTGATACAGTTACGTTAAACAAATTGTAAAACCATGTAAACCTCCTGTTGCAAAATATATATTTGTGTTGCAGTTTTAGTTTAGTTAAGCACAAACTTTAGGACTGTATGTGGTGAGAACAGCACCCTGCACAGTCCATCCAGTGAATTTCTTCTCAAATCCGATCTGGTGACACACAATGTTAAAGACTATACAGGCTATACTGTGTACAGTATAGAACCATTAGCTATCTTTTCGTACATATTTTGAAAAATAAGCTAAAATGTAATGATCTGTTGATGTAACAATAGGCCTAGAATATTTAATGTGGAAGCATGATGTGTCCCAAATCTTGGGAGTACAAATATGTATGAGAGCAAGGGTTCAATGGACTGTTGACATGAACTGCACCTTGCCTCAGACAGCATGTACTTTTCTGAAGAGAGCCACAGCCTGCTTTTCTTCTTCGTGTCGTTTTCTAAGGGCTTCCAGGGTGGCTGGCTGGGACACGTCCAAGCCCTCCAAGTAAGAAGTGTGCTTGGTGAAGCCTTCGGACGGGTGTTTCTGTCTCTGTTTTGGTTGAGATGGTACAAGAGGTTTGGCTATGGTCTTGGCATATTCCAAGGCCTAAGATTCAAAAAGAGAGAGATGCACGTATGTTAATGAACTCACTAATTACTGTATACTGTACAAGCTGCAGTCAAAAATGGTTCTTCAGATATATGTGTAAAACATCTATCCACAGTGACACAGTGTCATGGTTGTGTTTCTCTAATGTACTCCTCAAGGTACATGCTATTGTTGTATAACTTTACTATAATCCTCCATCGCTGACTGCGTAACTGTTTTATAAAATTCACATGAAAGTCCTGTCCTGCACGTGAGGTTAGCAGGCTAGTGAGCTTACCTATAGTAATCTATGCTGCCTGGCTAACCTGTGCATGGAGTGAGTGGAGTTCAGAAGATCGAATCAAAATGTGTGAACAGCCTACTACTAACCAATCAACTGTCTGGAAAATAACATGACTCCTACAGGATCTGGACAAAAACTAACATTTATGGCAAAGTGACAAGAAGCCTAATAAAGAGCATCATGCTCAATCTTGGTTTGCCATGATAATACATAGTATCACAAATATAATAAATGCTTGTCATAAGACCATATATTGCGAGACAGTTACTTCGTAATATAAATATGTGAACATTAAATATGTGAGATAAAAAATAAATTATGATAGTCTTTTTAAACAGCAGAGGGCTCTATCTACTTTTGACTTTGCTTGTTCGACATCCTACGTCAGTAGCTGTATCAAGGTGCAAAGACATTGCGGCCGCACGTGAAGACTTTGACAGTGGGGATGCACCGTGAGTTTGTGAGAAAATCATATTGTCAAGTATCGTGAATTATAATGAATCATGAATTTAGTGTATTCTTACATCGCTACCAATAGCTGATATATTAGTCCAATTGCTTAACTCTAAAAAATGTCAATTTGCTACCTGTTTCTTATTTATAGACTTAGAAATTGAGGAAGCGAACTCCATATCGTATTTAGCTGCAGTGAAGAATGATCTTCAGGTAAACATCTCTATAGAGGACTGGGAGAAAGCATGTCTTCACGCCCAAACCCAAACTATAAATACCAGATTTAAACTGTTACAGTATAAATGGTTGCTCAGGACTTATATTACCCCTGATCCCTGATACATGTAGTAAGTGCACTGAAGAAATTGGCACTCTCTATTTTTCCAAAATACCTTCGGAAGTTTCCGGATCCCACATAACATC